GTATATTAATAAAGACACGAGGCATGACCTCACCTTAAAAAAAAAAAAAAAAAAAAAAAAAAAATATATATATATATAACACTATAAAATAAATCCCATAATAATAAAAATAATAATAGAACACTACATGATTTTACAATCTAATAAAAGCAAAAAGCCAAAAAGACTAACCTTGACTACAAAAAAAAATACTATAATAACAATAAAGATTATATACTTGTATAATTAACAAGTTATTTAATTTTATTTTAAGATTTTGATAAATTTTGTAAATATTTATATTCTATACAATTATTTTAATCACTATCAATCTAATTTTAATGATGTTTTACTATTTATAGACAAAGTTTTTCTCTATCTACTATATAAATTTTATATAATTTTAATCAATTATTAATTAAAAGGAAAATCGTCTGACTGCAGTAAGTTTACCACTGCTGCACTGATAACCCTGTCATATTTATATAAGACTTTTCACGAGTTTTTATGGTACCCACGTTCTCACCCAAAAATTTCGATTGGCTGATTTACACAAAGAAGGTACGTACGTACGTACGTACACAATTCGGTGGTGGGACATATACTCAGCCAATCATGTAACCCGGCCGCTGTTTTTTAAAAAAAATTTCAGGTTAATTAATTGGATGATGGTGACGTATCGCACTGACAATGAATATAGAAATTTATGAACTAAAGAGTTTTTAAAACTCAAAAAAAAAACTGTATACCACCAACTAAACTGACAACAGTTGCTTTAGAAAAATTGTTCTTTGAATAATTGGTATATATCATTTTCTAAAATCATTTATTTTGTCAACATTTCGATCTGAATAAATACTATGATTTTCATTGCCAAAATGAAAGCAAATGTAATAATAATATGTCTATTGTAGATTTTTAAATGAACAGAAAGTATTACATCACACGGTTGTAACAATTTCCTCGTTTAAAAAAAGCATAGCTGTAAATATGGCCAAAGGTCTATTCCAATAGACGTTTTTTTCGTTTAATTGATCATCGATAGAACAAATTACTACTTAACGTATGCATTCTTAGACACATTAATTAAATTCTTTATTTTTGTACTTAATTACGAAGGAAAGTTTTTTACTGTTTAATGAAAAAAAATTAGCATCTAATTAAACATTTTGAGAAAATTAAGATCATAAGAATAAAATGTATATTTACCACTTTTACTTCCTTCAGGCCATCTTTAAAGAGTGAGAAGTAAGGTGTAATTCCATCTTCACGATAATTAAGTAATCCAACCATGCCCTCTTCCGTACCCTTTTCATAAAACTTTTCACCAACAAAAAATTGGTAATCTACAATAAAATAAACAAATTAATATAATCAATTAATCATGTCAATCAATAAATGAAATAACATACCGCCAATATTACTGAGGACTTTTTTTGAAAAATTCTGAATTTTCGCTTGCCATTCACTTATGTCTCTGTCAGGTTGTTCTTTTTTAACGTGTTCAGCAAGTTTTTTCACATATTTTTTAAGATAAGCTGTATAGGACTTCTTATCGTACTGGGTTTCTTGAAGACGGAAGGCATTAACAACATTATTAACTTGAGTTGAAGATTCATCAAGTGCCTCTTCTTGCTCTTCGGCTGAAGGATTTGCACCGATATCTACGTCAACACCCGCTTTGAGTGTAATAAGCTGTATAATAAAATAAAATTTAGCAAATATTCACGGAAAGGAATAGGATAAGATCATAAACGTTGCACTGTATACTACCTGACAATCAACCTCAAGAACAACATCATCAACAACCTTTAGGGGATAAGCATCAGAAACGAACTCGTCATCTGCAAATCAAAACTGCTACAGTTACTGCTTTTTCTTTTTTTCATGTAAACAGACTTTATACAAAAATGGAACAAAGTAAATGAAAACAAAACATTCACAGTAATAGGCACGTTAATTACCAGTATAAATGTCTGTATAAATGATCATTTTTTAGGAATGAATGCGATGGATGTATTAACGGCAGAAAAAAATATCGATAGGTATTTATACAGTGTAACGGTACGCATGATATCATAATAACGATAAGATTAAAAAAAAAAAAATCTTCAGATTTTCCGGGTTACACAATATTCGGATGTAAATTTCTAGTTTTCAACCTATTGAATGCCTTCTCTTTCTATAACACAACTCAAGAACTTCAAATGCCTTCTCTTTCTATAACACAACTCAAGAACTTCAAATGCTACTTAAATGCTATCTCAAATGCCACCTTAAATATCATTTCAATTCCACCTCAAATATTTTATCAAATGCTACCATCTCAAATACTATTTATTTTTGTAATCTTTTTTTTCTTTCAGATTTATAATTCTTACGTTTATTATACGTAAAACGCATTTATGATGGTTGCACCTATTAATATGTTTTTATATATTGTCAAACATGGGACATTTCATCTAGAGTATGTATAAAATTTGGACGATTATCTAAAGGTTGCGACTAGGGTTTTTCTAAACTTTGAATGATAACTATATATATACCTATTAAAATCAGTGTTGGCCGATGACTATGTCATACCATTTTTTTCCTATATGACCTTTTGGTCATAGTCATCCGGTCATATTAAGTACTAATGAAAAAAATCTTTACTATGATTCTTACTATATTAAAAAAGGTCATAAGTCATATCAATCTTCGTTATGACCCAAATGACCTATGACAGGTCATAAAGGTCATATAGGTCATTTAAGATCACGTGTAACGTAGCACGATCAGGAAATAGTAAAAATTTTACATATAAAACTATCTTTCACGCTCTAACAAAACCAATTGCTTGCTAAATTTTACTGTAAAATTTTTATCCTATCTAATTCTAATGTTAAATAAACATCCATGTTATTTTTGTTGTTTTTATTTGATCTTATAGCAACAAATTATAATTGTACTATTGTATATATTGTAATGTAACAAGTTAAACCTTTGGTTAACAAGTTACCTTACTTGACTAGGTGTTTGAATAGTTAAGAAATATGTTTATAATAATTTATAGAAGAAAACAGTTTATAATTAAGATGAAATATTGTTGACTTATTGTTATGGCAACACTTACTAAGAAAGATTATAATCAACAATTTTATAGACAAAAAGATAGATTTATTAATTCAAATAATATTCAAAGAATAGCTTATATAAAGCAAATTATAATTTAATAAAAATAAAATACAAATTTCAAGAAAAAAAAGGATGTAGTGACTTGGTGTAGTTGGTAAATTGTTGCACTCCCAAGCAGTAGAACAAGAGTTTGAATCCTACTATTGATGAAATTTGAAATATTCTATTTGTGTCAGCACCTGTAATAAGGTTGTACCAGTATTGTCGTACTAGAAAGCAGTGGAAATACTGTATAATATATGAGTTGTATGATAGTGAAGCTGTCAGATAAAACTAGCAGATTATGATACAGAAGTTTGCTTGGTAAGACCTGAGTAGAGAGGTAGTACAAATTTTCAATAATACTATCTAACAATCCAAAAAGAGGAACTAAATGATAGGAAAAAGGAAACTGAATAGGATAAGATCATAAACGTTGCACTGTATACTACCTGACAATCAACCTCAAGAACAACATCATCAACAACCTT